TATCTAGTGATCAAGGATTGTGTTTTTTTGGGTTGTTGAGTGTGTGGAGTCTGTTCGCCAAGTGGGGCTTGTGGAGTGCACACACAAGCAACATGCTATCCTAGATTCAAAGGCATAACCATAAATCTTGAAACTAGCTGACCTATGGTTGATTGCAATCTGAACCCAAAACCCCAATCATTAATCGCTTGGCTTCGAGCCCCAGACCCTCTGACGAGACCCTAGAATTCCGAGGCTCTATAAATTTAATGATTCCGAAACTCTAGATCTAAACCCTACAGAATGCCTCTTTCTATAACTCCAACCCTCAACCCCTGCACCTAAACCCTAAACCCTGATCCCAAAAGCCCCTGAAGACTCCACTGTATGATATATATATGATATATTTGTATATTAAATTATCATGTCCCATAAACCACTTACAAAAAGGAAAAAAGGATGGCACTCAGCATCACAGTGACAGGTGTCGATTGGTCTTCGCACGGCTGTTCTTTCTCCCTCGAGACGAGTCGCATGAGCTCGATAGAATGACAGCTTGTCTTCTGTTAATTGGGAGAGATCGTTGGCAACTCTGATGTTTGCATCATTGATTGCGATTCTGAGTGCAGCTGCTTTTGCGCGTGCATCTCTCAGATTTTGGCCGCCGCGGCGTGCTCAGCCTTTGGTCCTTCGTTGTTCTTTTGGTGGAGACTGTGACAACCGCGGTTTGACAGCTGGCGGCGTCTTGGTAAGTAAGTTAGTCTTGGGCACCTTTTGGTGTAATTCCTGAGGATGAGGAGCCGGCCATAGCTGCCTTGCCTCGATCTGCTGCACTTGCCTTGTTAAGCAATTTAGTATAGGTAGCGCCGTCTCGTTCATCAGTGCCCCCAACTGTGGCATCGGCCAACAGCTGTTCCATCTGAACAGTGGCTGCTGCGCCTGCGTAGTTTTGAAGCCTTTCTATGCCAGCTTTCAACCCATGGACGGGCGTCACCTCGGTTGCAGATATCGTTGCGGCGGATTTCCGCAACTTCTACCGTGTACATGCAGACGCGGCATAGATTCTTGTTAGGATTTGTCCTGCGCCTCTCAGTTGACGGCGTGTTCCTGACGCGCAGAGTGCCAGATTGTCCGGAGAGAAGTTGTCTCTCCAGTCGCAGTTCTTTGAGTTCCAGGAACAACTTGTGTTCTGATGGCCGAATCTGGCTCCACCTCAGGTTCGAAGAAAGGAGTTCTTCCTTGGCCCTTTGCTGCCTTGGCCTTGGCCTTGGAAGTTGGCTCAACTCTCTTCATGCATTCGATTGGAGAACGAGTGAGCTGTTTGAAGAACCATCTGAGACCCATGAACAGGAGAAGCAGATGCCAGATAAGACTGACATAAGAGAACTCATCTTCACTTGTTAGTGAAATATGGTAAACCCCAACAAGTTGGAAACCGGATTAAGGACAATTAGTGCTGGGATTCCCTATACATTACTCTTAGGGATTGAGGCTACTGAGTTTCCAACTTTTCGGCTTCTACTGTAGACGGTTTCTCTGCTGTGTCTCCCGCTCTCTCAGCATTAACACCACCACCGCCTCTCCTGTTGAAGAAGCTAGCTGCAAGACCCGCTGTGCCAATTGTTTTACTAGCCTTCGTGGAGGGTGCGGCTGGTGGATTCGACTGTCTTCTTGGACGTCGCCTCTGTGTAGAGGATTCTTCTGCATCTTGAGGCTCGTTGTGTCGACGATCGTCAATGAGTTTTTGCGTCGCATGTTCGATGTCGCGAAGATCTTCACAATCAGGAGACGGTTGCTCCTTTTCCTGTTGCATACGAGCAACTTCAGACAACCGCATATTGAGTTTTTCAACCACGTTCGGTCTTGCTCTTGTTCCACCGGCACCTCGTGATCGAGATCGGGGATCGTTGCTGTGAGCCTTTCCTTTTCCCCGACCTGTGGTGGATGATCAGGCTCGGCAGGGTGCCAGGAGTACAAGCGTCCTTGCCACGATGATGAGGAAGCTCCCTGTTGGGATTGTTCTTGCCTCCGTCTCCGTGCGTTGGCTTCTCGGGCCTGCTGTACCTTCTCGTTGAAGCGAGATCTCTTTTCCAGCTGTTTCCGGACGTTGTCCTTTTTGCGGGCATGTGTGCCCTTGTCTGCCAGAGGCTGGATGGTGATACCTATAGTGGCGGATGCCACGCGAAAGCCACAAGTCGAAGTTCGTGAGCATTGAATAGGAGCTTTTATTCCTCACGTCGAGGAGGATATCCAGTCGTTAGTCTCATGCCACATATCTGACACTCGTTGCCAGCACTCTCGTTCCATCGACTTGGTCACCTGTCTGGAACTGGCAATCCGAGTTTTCGGAGGTTTGCCCCAGTCGAGAACGGAAATGTTGAGGCAGCCGAGATTCGCGACTCTTGCCTTGACGTCCGCTGGAAGCCTGTTGGCTTGTTCGAGACGTTAAATGTGTCAGAGTTGTTCAGGACATAATATCGTACCTGTTCTCCTTCGGATGCATACACGTTGTAAGCAGAAAGCCTTTCCTCTAGATAGAGGGTGAACAATGTGAAGAAGATGGTTCTGGAGCCGGGTGTTCACCTGACCCAAGCAGTTCCGAACTAGCTCCTTTATCAGCTCCAGGAATCGGCAAGCTTGCCTTCACGGGAACCTTGGGTTTGTAGACAGGCTTGCTTCTTCTTCAATGAAGCTGGCGCTTCGACTACTGATGAAGGTCTTGGTGCAACAGCGGATGGTTTTGTTGAACCTCTAGTTGAAGGTTCAGATCCGCTGTATTTACTACACCCAGGTTTGTGTGTACGCAGCCGATGTTGTTCGCGACAGGCTGGACACGTCCAAGTAGGGCCTGGTTTGTTTTGCCTGTGATCCTCCTTCCATCTGCTGCATCGGCCGAAGCTGTTGCTTCGAATGACCGACCCTTGCTCTTCTTCCAGGTGGAAGTAAAGCTCAAAAGGCCCAACACAAGATGGTTGTTGGCTTCTCCGTCTGCTTGATGGTTCTACCTGTTGAGCGGTAAGGCCTGAATCGGCCGCGAGATCTTTGCTTTCCGCCTTTTGCTCTTGCTGGGGATCCAGGGCGCATTCTTGGTTTCTTTCCTCATTTGATTCTCCTGACGAAGGCCTCGTAATCATCCATAACCCAGAAAGTACGTTCATCCTCGTTTCCGAGGAATCCTTCCTCGAGGGTGTCCTCGTCTTGAAGCTAGTAACTTTCGGCTCCGTCGTATTCTCCTTGATCGAGGATGAGGAAGCTTCCACCTCCACGTCGCCTTCGGTGATCTCTCCATCCTGACCGGTCCTTCTTGTGAGAAGAGTGCCTGATGTTGGGGTCTTGCAACCCAGTTCGCGTGGTGGCGAACTGATCGAACATGGTTGTCCGTACCACCGAGTACGTATATGTTTCGATCCTGCGGCCCTGTTGGGTCAGGGCTGACACGAGCCTTTCTCGCTGTTGTTCGTTCAGATCGGACTCGGCCAGGAACAGCAGGGATGGAGGATTGTCATTCAGCGGGAACGCCTTCCGATGCGCCTCCTCGGGGGCGACGTTCCAAGCTAAAAAAAGTGCCTGGTGGCATATGCTTCTCTTTCATCTGCGGACTGTAGCGAGGCGCAGGTCGGATCCTGTCCTAGAGCTTCGATGTATTCAGCATGGACCTCTCCCGGGATACCTCCGGCACAGTAGGAGGTCCATCCACGATTTTTGACTTTATTGAGGTCAATTTCGAACTTGGTAATCCAGCTAACGAAATCCTGTTTGCCTTTCCACGCTTTAAAAAGTCCGAGAAAGCGCCAGAGAAACACATATTGTTCGCCTTTGACAAACACAAGGCGCATGTTTTCTTGAAGAATTTTACGCCGTCATCGGCGCAGAGCTTCTGGCGGTCCAGAGCTTTTTCTGGACTGATGCTAAGCCGGAGAGCCTAGACTTGAGGGACGGTCCCCACTTCTTTTGGTCCAACGTTGTGATGTCGCACCAGTCGTCAATGAGCTGCTCATACTCAAACCACGAAGTGGTCCCGTCGTAGGCGGGGCCTATCTTGGGTGAAATACCCAGATAGTTGAGCATCTTTTCGCTCATGCCACAGGCCTGGTTTGCGCAGAGTCACGTTGGCCCTTGTGAAGGACTATCGTCTGAAGAATAACCTCCGGAGGAATTGCTGCTTTCGTCATCCCTGAGTCATCACTGCTGTGAGAGAACGTTGCGCAGCCTCGACACACGCCTGGTTAAGCGATTGGCCGAAAATAACCGCTTTAGCTATGTTTGGTGAGGGGTCGCATCTGCTTCGATGGTAGCCAATTGGGGTAAAAAGCCCTTTAAACGTCGGCATTGTCTCGAAAATGCAATCGCAACCACCCCAAACCCGGAATCCTACAGCCTGCAGGATTGGAGCGCTTCGGCACGGACTGTGCTAATTTCGGAGCCTAAACCCGAACCTGTTTACAGTCAAGCCACGTCTCGCAATCCACTCCTTAGGAGGTGAAAGTCTGTCTGACCCAACACGGGCTCCGCTACCAGAAAACTGACCCCCAATCCCCCTCCAGGGGGAGCATAAGGGATACACAGTATCGGTCCACAAGACTTGATGACTTGACCCTTGCGCACGGAGTGCAGCACGTTGCTTTCACGAACGCGCTACGAGAGAGCCAATAGTCTAGAACCACTTGAGCCAATACAGTCACAGAGAGTACATATGAGTGGCCGTTGCGGAAGATACATGTGACTGCATGATTGCAGGTTAGATAACCAGGGGGAAGGGTGGGTGGGGGGGCAGGAGGGGGAGTGGGGAAAGGGGTCGAAAGGTAAAAAGGCAGAAAAGTGTCGGGAAAAGGACCACAAAGAGAAGGACTGGAGTGCAAGGCAAGGGAGATGTGGGGGTGGGGGGGGGGTCGAAATTGTGGGCCAAAAACCTGTGTCATGAAATTGTCGGAAGGAGGAGTAGGTAGAGCGTACTGAGTTAGCCGTACATGCTTTGACATCCGCACACCCCACAACAAACACTCGACGGCATGTGTAAGTGCCTCCTCCTCTTCCACAGTGGGCAAACTGTCTCCCACTGCTTGCAAACCTGCGGATCTCTCTTTATCCTGCCCGCCCCAGGCAAATCGTTGCGACAGCAAGCTGCATTGATTGATCGATTGGCATCTTTCGAACGGACCCTGGCAGTCCTCCGCATATGTTTCACTCGTTGGGGCAAATGGAGGCTCTTGCTCACGACCCAGAAGCTTTTCCCAGCCTGAGCAGCAATGCAGGGATTACAGGTTGCTGCATCGCACCTGTTTGCTCGCACTTCTTCTTGCTCTCGCTGAGCTGTAGACACAAATGCTTGAAGAAAGGATGGGCCTTAAGTTTTGTATATCCTGACAACAGCAAGACGTCTGGCAACTTCGGTGAACTCTCCCGTCCAATACCCGGCCTTCGTGACCAGCACCCAACCGCTTTTTCGGGTCACGTGTCAGAAGGCCTCGTATCAAACCTCGCGAATCAAAGGCATGAGAATCTGGCAACATAAAACGATTGCCTCTGTTCCGACAACATCTACCATGCAAGAGCCTGACTCGCGACTCTAGAAGACATCGTGCTCAAAATGGTGAGATGGCGAGCGTCAACTTATCACTCCGTGCAGGGCTGATGCAACCTGCCAGTTTCTTTTCGGTCTTGGGCTTTGGGGAAGCCGGAGCTAGGTGCCTTGCTTGAGACACGGGTCTGCACTGACACACCACATGTGGCGAAAGAAGGTCCCTGCTACAACTGCGACGTTGAAATATAAAGGTGTGTTTCCTTACAGTTTTAGAAACCATGCAAACAAAATCCGGGCTTATTAGTTGGCTGTGATATGGGGTTGTGGTATCCTGGTTCCGGTTGCTCAGGGGCTAGTCATCTAGTCGCCTTAAAGGCGAGGGGTTAAGTGGGTGGGTGTCGAGCTCTCCGCAAGCCTGTGCACGCCGGTGCTGAGATGTTGACTGATAATCTCATCTGCCATTGGCTGCTTGTCAAACCTGGCACAGCCGCCAGCCAGTTTCTCGTGGCATATACCATGCTCCGAGATCGCAGCGAATGCCAGGTGACTGAAAGCCACACAACACCGAGCAAGTGCGACCATTCGGGAAAGCGCAGCTCGGCTCTCAGGATTTGATGGAAAATCCTTCAGAGAACTCGAAACGAAGCGCAAAGTGCCGAGCAACTGTGATGCGGCCATGTGGTGCCAGACTGATTGCAGCAAACAATAAGAGCGAGTCTGGCCATGATTTGAACAGTTGCTTGCAAAGGGGAAGTGGCCGATGACCTAATCAAAATACAAACTGGGTCGGCGATTGGCTCAGCTTTTTCCTGACTGACACTGAGCCGCTGACAAATTCGTACAGGCAAATACCCAGACTCCAGAGATCAGCCACAGTCGTATGGCCCTGAAAACAGATAGAAGAATCCCAGAACTTCCCTGCATGATCATGAGATGTAGTGCAGCCAACAACAGCCTTGCCAAGAATCATTTCAGGAGCCATGAACATCGGAGTGCCCTGTCGAGAGCATCGACGAGACGAGTCGCATAAACCAGTCTGGAGCCGGCCTTGAGAGGCCCATACCTTGTGTTGGTGATGCGCCTGGCTATGCCGAAGTCGATCATCTTGAGGTAACCCTAGCAGGCTGGAAAAAAAAGGCAGGGCGCACCGTGCTGCCAAAATGCGGGCCTGTTGGTCGATCAAGCAGTTCTCGCTCTTCAGATCAAGGTAGGCTATGCCTCGAGCCGAATTTGGCCCGAAAAACACCCGCTCTGTAACAGCTTAACTACATTCCTGAGCCACGCACGGCGTGAATGCAGAAACTCCAGTGCCAGAACTATGCAACCAGTGTAGAACAGAGCCTCCAGCAGATCACATGCAAGCAAAGCGCGAATAGTCATGTCAACAGTGAGGCAGCATCTAGGCGCATCGTGTTTCTTTGCCAGGCCCGAAAACGAGCAGCAACTCCAAGTCTAGCAACAATAGAGTGGTTTTCTCCTGCCGAACTTGAAAGTGCAACATATCGGGCCTGCGAGTACTTCAGCAGCCCCAACGCATCCAGAGCGTCAAGGAGCTCGCCACCACTTACCAACTCCATTAAGAAGTACACCCGAGACCTTGACAAAGCACAGTAGAAGCTGCTGGGTTGAAGCGTGGAATCAATGCAAGCACCAAGTTTCCGGCTCATTTCGAAATGATCTTACAAACTTGATGATGAAAGGGTGATCCACCTACAAGAAGTCGCATCAGAACCCGCCCAGCACGGTGCTGCTCTTTTCTATGAACCACGCCTCTTTCAGAATGCTGAGCTCAGAGACCAGCGCATCTTGCACGTTCTTTTCCACGACGTCACGCTTGCGAACGCACTTCAGAGCATACCTATCATGCACTACAGCTCTCCCGTCGCTTTGCGCAAGACAAACGCTCATCAACTCGGAGCGGGACCTGACTCCAGTTTTTTTCGCCCTCACCATCTTGACGACACCAAAGCCACCGCGACCGATCACGCGCACGAACCTTGAGCAACCGGCCAGCACTCCGTCGTTACGTGTGCTTCCAGCCACGAGGAATGATACATGTCCGGGTTAGATGCTGGTCTGCAAGTGATTACAATCAATGTTGAAAGTCAAAACAAAGGCTGTACTTTTCTGCGGTGTTGTGAGGGAACGACCCTCTTCTGATAGGACGTGTGCCACAAGAAATCCTTCATACAGTATCATACAGTCATACAGCGAATACACGCGAATACTGCACAACTGCACTTGAGCGTGCCACTCCGTGAAGGTATTGCGAAGCTTGGAGCGTCTACAGAATTCCCAAGAATTGGCTGAGACACCTTCACTGTGACGGCCATTGTACTGTACCGCAACTTCAACAGCGGTACTTTCTACAGTAGCATCAACTTCCGGCATTATCGGCATTGGAGGGATGCACGACCGCTCCAGCAGTATTATATAGTTCACAGTACTGAAACTTTCTGTCAGTGCTGACTCGCCTGTCAGTGCCTTTGCGGCCGGATTGAAAATGCCATGCCGGGATAACGTAATGGTTTATCTGCGTCAGAAATGCAACACTTTTGGAAGAGAGAAGGGGTTGCGCATGGTTGCGGGTCTATGCTTGATGTCATGCCTCCCTGTATTCTGCAGTCATGTACGTTTGCATCAGTGAACTACGTTTGCATCAGTGAACAACATCAACTGTCACTACTTTCTTTGATCCGTGGGCCTGCTGGGAACTATTGCATGCCAGGTCCTGCACGCGCCGAGGTTACGGACATTATTAAACTGACATACTGTCCCCCTACTTCTCCCAAGCGTGGATGTCGCAAGCGTCGCTGGATCGATGCCAGCGCTGGCCCGACTGGCCCCGCGTGAGCCCCTGGGATATGGGGGTAAAGTTTATTTTGCACGGCATAGTATCGGGAATAACTGGCAATGGCTGGCATGGGTTGCGAGCCGCCGACGGGGACATCTGTATCATGAGTCACGTGAGCCACGTGGGGGTCCTTATTACATAAGGCAGCGTGAAGTCTGGATGGGACATCCCCACATCTCCCCACCAATTTTTGTGGGTCCCAAACCCTACCCCTTCACGACCAAAGCCACGAATCCGACCTGCCCAGCCCGGCGTCGCCCAAGTCCACCAGCTAGGGGGACTTAGACGCTGGGCAGGTTGGATTCGCGGCTTGGGTCGCAGGAAGCAAAACCCCCCAATCTCGAGCTGAAAATGGTGCGCGTGCTTTTGAGTCTGCAAAGGGGGCTCCAATTTGTGGGTCTCGGCGCCCCCAGAATAACATCAGATTCACATGTGATCCTCACGCACCCGCCAAGTCCAAGACACAACGTCAAACAACCACAAGCTGGGTCCGGTCTTGGACTTGAGAAGTGTGTGACGATTAAGGGTGACAGATGCCCGGTTGCAATACTTGCGGGAGCTTGCGGGTGAACTGAACAAGTAGATGCCGGTTGAACATGTGGAACTGAACAGGCAGGCGCTGGTTGAACACCCATTCCGATTGCTATGAAATGAGTTCCCAAGCCTGCTTTAGAGCCCTGGCCAAACCTCTGCGTGGCCAAGCCCAATTTGTTGAGATGCATTAAAAGGCCCGCCCCAAGAAATCTCCCACAGCAGTCCGACACTTGCTTATATGAAATGACCGCAGGTTTCCCATGTCGTACATGACTAGCAGGGGCCCATGATGTGGGGGGGGGGGGGGTCCCCCATGAGGTTTCGCACGCTTCCAGCGTCGGGACGAGCAAAGAATGGCAGAGAATGGCGGAGAGCCGGAGCCGCCCAGCCAGCATAGAGCATATAGAGCCAGGGCCGGCGGCAAAGTGTAGCGATGCGAGAGAACGTTTGGAGCTCAGGGAGGCCTATTGAGCCGGCAAAATAAACTTGATATTGAAGTTCCTGGCAGGCCCAAATCCTCAGCCGACCACCCAAAAACTGCAGCAGTTTGCCATGCCCGGGGATCTCAACCACAAGGCTTTGCACACTATTGGCCGCACACGCGTTTGAGAGACTTACTTCATGCTTCATGCACTCAACAACACATCTGCAAAGGATCGGGCTCGAGATCTTGAAAGGTCAGGTTAGTATCCTGATCAACGACACAAGATCGAAGGTAATAGTAGACTTTGAATATTGACTGTGAGACTCCTGTGTTGCACTATAATCTGGTACAGTCCGATGTCTGTGCCGCATGCTTTGGGTTTCACTGACGGTGTCCTGCAGTGAGATGCGATCTTTCAGGTAGTCCAAGCACGGGCCCTGCCTTGCGCAAAAAGGTATAGGCTTCACATGCACTCGGCGCATACAAATCAACGCTAGGCCCGCTAGGCACCAAACATCATTTCCTGGAAAGTTTCCTTCCCCATTTTCCAAAGCTCCGTGTCCTGAACGCATGCACATGTATGTGCACAGAATGCAGGGGCTTGCAGACAACTCTCCTCCAGTGCTGTGATGCTTGCACTGCGAATCTCACTTCCCAGGAGTGCTCGCTCACCGAAGTAGTCTGGATCCCCGAGCCTCCATGGATTTTTGCATGGTTTTGCTCACATAGATACATAGATGATCATAGATGGCACAGATTGGCAAGGTGAAGCGACTGAGGTCGCAGCCGCCGCTTCATGCGTCCATCAATCTCTACGCTGACTGCTCCCTTGCGGATTATGTAGAAATGCCTTGGAGTTGACGGGTAAGGGACGGATAGGGACGGTCCTGGTCGATTTTCTGAGTCCCACATGTTGAGGCACGCACGTTCCTTGGTCACCCTGAGAGAAGACCTGTCGTTTTGTGACACGACGCTTCTGTGATGTCCGACAGCTGCACAATGCTGCGCACACAATCCCTAATTGTCGAGGCCGCAGGCTCGCTTGCCGCTCCGCACGATCTGAATCTGGAGTGCGTTTGCAAGACCTCAGCAGCCGCCACCAGCAGCAGCAACGGACGGATACTGGCGGTGTGTTCTAGTCGATAATCACTCTTCTTGCAGATGATGTTCACCGCCACCCAAAACTTCTTGTGCACTTTGTGTCGGACGCTGAAGCTGCTGTTTGGACAGCGTCGCAAATATGAAGACTGAACGAAGGCTTCGCACCTCAGAGCAGAGAGAGACTCACTGGAATGCTCCCGAACGAGGGTGCATTCGCACGCATCGCACGCAGCGTGCACCAAGAGCGGACTCAGACCATCTCAGACCATTAGTCGGGGCTTACCTACACCAGACGACTCCAGATGCAGGATGATGACACGATGCAGATCCCGTTTGGCCCTTATTAAGACAGACATGCTCCGAAGTCGGACTTCGGCTCGCACCTTGTTGTCTTGTTCTAGCGCTCCATCGAAGTCATCAAAGGCAAGGATGCTGCCCAAGTCCTTCCGCATGCAGCAGTTTCCTTCTGGCAAGCAAGCAAGCCAGTTCTAAACGGAAGTGTCCTCTCGTTGCCAAACTGCCAGCTTGGAATCTCCAAGTGCTTTGAGCTGCAATGATGTTTTCCTAGCCCATGCGGCACATGCGATTCTGGGAAATTCGTTGTCACTCGTCGCGGAATCGCGAACAACTGCACGGCTCAATCGAGTCAGGGACTGCTGCTCGTAGGGAATAGCGAACAAGTCAGACCTGTGTGAAGTTAGCGGCTGCCGGGAAAAGTCTCCTGTGATCTGTTGTGTTAATTGGTTGTCAACCAAGGCCGCAACGCGGCGCCGATTAAATGCTGTGGGCCAGTCTCCAGCCTCCTCGTGGCAAGTTTTTGATTCACGGGAAACCCTTTCTCTCTACTGGAGGTTCATGAGCAATGCTGCTCAACATCTGAGACTTCGGCAATTCAATTTCTCCGTTCAATGCCACAATCATGCGCACATCCTGCAATCGAGCATCCCAGAATCTTCCCGTAACCAACCAAGTGCAGGAGACCTGATGGTGCCCGTGCTACATGTCAAAAATTGAGTCTACAACCACTTCCGAATCGCTGTGCGAATGCCAGGTCAGATCCATGGGACTGGGATTCCTCGGGAACAGTCCTAGCATTTCCGGTTGGTGCGCAGCAAACCGCGGCCCAAACGTTCACACGGCTACGAAAAGGGTAGCTGGAGATATACTAGACTAGTCACCTCTGCAATATGACCCTTGACAAGTGAAGTGGCAGCTCTTGCTACATCTCACAACAAACTGTCCCGCCTCCCAGCTTTGCTCCGAACCTGTCATGCAGGAAACTATGCTGACACAATGCACATGGAACGCACCGACACCAGCAGGAAAAAGTTAGCCCTTGCCCACCTTCACCAAGGCAGCGAATCTGGCAAGATACGGCGATGGCTTCCCGATGCTCTTGATGAAGGCGGGAGAAATCCTATGCGGCTCGGAGTCGACGCAAGGCCGAGTGCTGAATACGAACCAACCTGGTGCTTTGCCAGCACGTGCAGCACTCTGTGCTTCACAAGAACCTGACAACGTCTCGTTCGAAACTACTTGCGTCGGGGTTATCTCACATCAGCTGGTGAGAATACACATCAATGTCGGCAGACGCTGGTTCTGGGAGAATACACATCAGCGGCGAAACTACACATCAGAACTAGCTAAACCCCATG